CCCAAAAACCCAGCCCTGGGAGCAGGAATTCTCAGTTCTTCCTTCGGCAAGGGGACAGTCCTGGGGGGAATCCCCCAGCAGGGACCTGCAGGACCCTTTTGAAGCCACTCCAAGACCTACACGGGGCTTTCCAAGCTTTTCCAACCTCCTGGGCCTCCTCCAAGGGCTGGGCTGGAGCTCCTGAGGTGGATTTCCAGGCAGGTGACAGTGACTCCTCCAAGGTCACCTCTGGTGCCCCGGGTGGCAGCTGGAGCACAGCTGGAGCTCCCCCTGCCCAGTTTGGAGCTGGAGCCTGCAGGAGCAGCTGGGGGAGGCTCGGACGGGGGTCCAGGGGGCTGAGAACGTGGAGCAACACCGGGGACACAGAGCCAGCCCCAGCCCCTCCCTGGGCTGGCACAGCCAAACTGGGCCCCGGGGAGCCCCCAGCCCCAGGGGACGGTGCCAGGGCACGGCCCAGCCCCGAGGGGCCCCGTCCTGGCACTGGGCAGCAGGGGCTCAGCGGGGAGGTTCTCCTCGGGCCTGTCCTTGGCAGGGTCCCAGGGCAGGGTCCTGGCAGGGCCAGGTCCTGGCAGCCGTGGCCACGCCGCCCTCACAACCTCTTGTCCTTGACGAGGCCGTTCCTGAGGTGCAGCCTGGGGAGGAGCAGAGCCCGTGGTCAGCACGGCAGATCCCCCCCCCCAATTCCCCTGCACCCCCAGATTTGGGCAGTCTGATGGGGCCAGCACCAGGTGCTCCCACGGGGAAAAGCCCAGGGAGAGCTTGGAGCTTCCAGAGCCTGAAGGGGCTCCAGGAGAGCTGGGGAGGGACTGGGGACAAGGCAGGGAGGGACAGGACCCAGGGAATGGATTTAAACTGGGAAAAAGGAGATTTGGGTGGGATACTGGGAAGGGATGCCTGGCTGGGAGGGAATGGGATGGAATTCCCAGAGCTGCCCCTGCATCCCTGGAAGTGTCCCCGGCCAGACCTTGGGATGGTGGGAAGTGTCCCAGGGGTGGAACTGGATGTGCTTTAGGGTTTTGCCACCCAAGGCAGTCTGGAATTGCCCGTACCCTTCCTTCAGAGCCTGGGGCAGTGGGATCCCGGCCTCCTTCCCGGATTTCCTGCTCTCCTCCACGTCGTACTCGCGGACGTCGTTCACCTCCTGCATCTGCCCCAGCAGCACCTTGGCCACGAACAGCACGATGTACTGGGGGACAGGGCACAGAGACCCTCAGGCACGGCCCGAGCCCGGGGGGCTTCCCCTGCTGCCCCCAGCCCATTTCGGGCAGGGCAGCTCCCCCCGGGATGGCCACAGCCCCGGGATTGGGCCGGTGACTCGGAGCAGAATTCCCGGCAGGGTTCATCCCGGGGATGATGGAGTCAGCAGCTCCCTGCCCTGCTCTGCCCCGCACCCACAGCCCGGGGCAGAACATTCCCGGGATGTTCACACCTCCCTGGAATCCCCATCCTGGGATGCAGGAGCATTCCTGGGATGTTCACACCTCCCTGGAATCCCCATCCTGGGACACAGGAACATTCCCGGGATGTTCACACCTCCCTGGAATCCCCATCCTGGGATGCAGGAGCATTCCTGGGATGTTCACACCTCCCTCGAATCCCCATCCTGGGACACAGGAACATTCCCGGGACATTCCCACCTCTCTGGAATCCCCATCCCGGGATGCAGGAACATTCCCGGGACGTTCACACCTCCCTGGAATCCCCATCCTGGGATGCAGGAGCAGTCCAGGACGTTCACACCTCTCTCCAATCCCCATCCCGGGATGCAGGAACATTCCCGGGATGTTCCCACCTCTCTCCAATCCCCATCCTGGGATGCAGGAGCATTCCTGGGATGTTCCCACCTCCCTGGAATCCCCATCCTGGGATGCAGGAACATTCCCGGGATGTTCCCACCTCTCTCCAATCCCCATCCTGGGACGCAGGAACATTCCCAGGACGTTCACCTCTCTCCAATCCCCATCCCGGGATGCAGGAACATTCCCGGGATGTTCCCACCTCTCTCCAATCCCCATCCCGGGATGCAGGAACATTCCCAGGACATTCCCACCTCTCTCCAATCCCCATCCCGGGATGCAGGAACATTCCCAGGATGTTCACCTCTCTCCAATCCCCATCCTGGGATGCAGGAACATTCCCGGGATGTTCACACCTCCCTGGAATCCCCATCCTGGGACACAGGAACATTCCCAGGACGTTCACCTCTCTCCAATCCCCATCCTGGGATGCAGGAACATTCCCAGGACGTTCCCACCTCTCTCCAATCCCCATCCCGGGATGCAGGAACATTCCCAGGACATTCCCACCTCTCTCCAATCCCCATCCTGGGACGCAGGAGCATTCCCAGGACGTTCCCACCTCTCTGCAATCCCAGCCCTGTTTTCACCCCCGCGGTGGATCCCGGGGTGTCAGACACTCCGAATTCCCAAGGGACCCCTCCGGATCCCCCAAAGTCTCCCGGGTCCCCGCGATCCCAGCAGCAGCAGGACAGGGCTGGCCCAGGAGGGGCCGTGTCCCCGCTGTCCCAGCCGGGCGGGCAGCTCGCTGCGAGGCCGGGACACCCACCAGGAACCAGTAGATGTTCATCAGCGTGAGCACGAGCAGCAGGGCGTTGAAGAAGAAGTAGAAGGGGATGTTGGGGACGGCCTGGAGGCTGGAGTGGCAGGTGGCGTAGAGCACCTTGAGGGGGAACCAGTAGAGACGGAACCAGAACCTGCGAGGACGGGGACAGCGCGGGGTCAGCGCGGGGTCAGCGTGGGGTCAGCGTGGGGTCAGCGCGGGGTCAGCGTGGCCCGGCAGGGACAGAGCCGGCACAGCCCATCCATCCATCCATCATCCATCCATCCATGGATCCATCCATCCATCCATGGATCCATCCATCCATGGATCCATCCATCCATCCATGGATCCATCCATCCATCCATGGATCCATCCATCCATGGATCCATCCATCCATCCATAGATCCATCCATCCGTGGATCCATCCATCCGTGGATCCATCCATCCATGGATCCATCCATCCATCCATGGATCCATCCATTCATCCATGGATCCATCCATCCATGGATCCATCCATTCATCCATGGATCCATCCATCCATCCATGGATCCATCCGTGGATCCATCTGTCCATCATCCATAGATCCATCCCTGTGTCCATCCATGGATCCATCCATCCATCCATCCATCCATCCATCCATCCATGTTTTCCTCCTCCAGGCCCCAGGAGCAGCTGGAATCTGGGGCGGGGCCTCCTCCTCCTCCTCCTCCTCCTCCTCCTCCTCCTCCTCCTCCTCCCCCTCCCCCTGCCCTGCCCGGGCTGGTTTGTCCCAGCAGGAATTTCTCCTTTGTCCCAGCAGGAATTTCTCATTGGTCCCAGCAGGAATTTCTCATTGGTCCCAGCAGGAATTTCGCAGCCACTCTCACCCAGCACTACAGAGGGATTCCGGCTCCGCAGGGAGCCAAAAATCCCCCAAAAACCGGGAGGAGAGAGGGGACTGTGATGCGGGACAAAAATCCTCCAGGGAGGGTCAGGAGTGGGATCAGGAGTGGGAGCGGGACACAGATCCAGAGGGGAAGAAGGTTGGGACTGGGATGGGGACCTAGACCCACCAGGGAANCCCAAAAACCCAGCCCTGGGAGCAGGAATTCTCAGTTCTTCCTTCGGCAAGGGGACAGTCCTGGGGGGAATCCCCCAGCAGGGACCTGCAGGACCCTTTTGAAGCCACTCCAAGACCTACACGGGGCTTTCCAAGCTTTTCCAACCTCCTGGGCCTCCTCCAAGGGCTGGGCTGGAGCTCCTGAGGTGGATTTCCAGGCAGGTGACAGTGACTCCTCCAAGGTCACCTCTGGTGCCCCGGGTGGCAGCTGGAGCACAGCTGGAGCTCCCCCTGCCCAGTTTGGAGCTGGAGCCTGCAGGAGCAGCTGGGGGAGGCTCGGACGGGGGTCCAGGGGGCTGAGAACGTGGAGCAACACCGGGGACACAGAGCCAGCCCCAGCCCCTCCCTGGGCTGGCACAGCCAAACTGGGCCCCGGGGAGCCCCCAGCCCCAGGGGACGGTGCCAGGGCACGGCCCAGCCCCGAGGGGCCCCGTCCTGGCACTGGGCAGCAGGGGCTCAGCGGGGAGGTTCTCCTCGGGCCTGTCCTTGGCAGGGTCCCAGGGCAGGGTCCTGGCAGGGCCAGGTCCTGGCAGCCGTGGCCACGCCGCCCTCACAACCTCTTGTCCTTGACGAGGCCGTTCCTGAGGTGCAGCCTGGGGAGGAGCAGAGCCCGTGGTCAGCACGGCAGATCCCCCCCCCCAATTCCCCTGCACCCCCAGATTTGGGCAGTCTGATGGGGCCAGCACCAGGTGCTCCCACGGGGAAAAGCCCAGGGAGAGCTTGGAGCTTCCAGAGCCTGAAGGGGCTCCAGGAGAGCTGGGGAGGGACTGGGGACAAGGCAGGGAGGGACAGGACCCAGGGAATGGATTTAAACTGGGAAAAAGGAGATTTGGGTGGGATACTGGGAAGGGATGCCTGGCTGGGAGGGAATGGGATGGAATTCCCAGAGCTGCCCCTGCATCCCTGGAAGTGTCCCCGGCCAGACCTTGGGATGGTGGGAAGTGTCCCAGGGGTGGAACTGGATGTGCTTTAGGGTTTTGCCACCCAAGGCAGTCTGGAATTGCCCGTACCCTTCCTTCAGAGCCTGGGGCAGTGGGATCCCGGCCTCCTTCCCGGATTTCCTGCTCTCCTCCACGTCGTACTCGCGGACGTCGTTCACCTCCTGCATCTGCCCCAGCAGCACCTTGGCCACGAACAGCACGATGTACTGGGGGACAGGGCACAGAGACCCTCAGGCACGGCCCGAGCCCGGGGGGCTTCCCCTGCTGCCCCCAGCCCATTTCGGGCAGGGCAGCTCCCCCCGGGATGGCCACAGCCCCGGGATTGGGCCGGTGACTCGGAGCAGAATTCCCGGCAGGGTTCATCCCGGGGATGATGGAGTCAGCAGCTCCCTGCCCTGCTCTGCCCCGCACCCACAGCCCGGGGCAGAACATTCCCGGGATGTTCACACCTCCCTGGAATCCCCATCCTGGGATGCAGGAGCATTCCTGGGATGTTCACACCTCCCTGGAATCCCCATCCTGGGACACAGGAACATTCCCGGGATGTTCACACCTCCCTGGAATCCCCATCCTGGGATGCAGGAGCATTCCTGGGATGTTCACACCTCCCTCGAATCCCCATCCTGGGACACAGGAACATTCCCGGGACATTCCCACCTCTCTGGAATCCCCATCCCGGGATGCAGGAACATTCCCGGGACGTTCACACCTCCCTGGAATCCCCATCCTGGGATGCAGGAGCAGTCCAGGACGTTCACACCTCTCTCCAATCCCCATCCCGGGATGCAGGAACATTCCCGGGATGTTCCCACCTCTCTCCAATCCCCATCCTGGGATGCAGGAGCATTCCTGGGATGTTCCCACCTCCCTGGAATCCCCATCCTGGGATGCAGGAACATTCCCGGGATGTTCCCACCTCTCTCCAATCCCCATCCTGGGACGCAGGAACATTCCCAGGACGTTCACCTCTCTCCAATCCCCATCCCGGGATGCAGGAACATTCCCGGGATGTTCCCACCTCTCTCCAATCCCCATCCCGGGATGCAGGAACATTCCCAGGACATTCCCACCTCTCTCCAATCCCCATCCCGGGATGCAGGAACATTCCCAGGATGTTCACCTCTCTCCAATCCCCATCCTGGGATGCAGGAACATTCCCGGGATGTTCACACCTCCCTGGAATCCCCATCCTGGGACACAGGAACATTCCCAGGACGTTCACCTCTCTCCAATCCCCATCCTGGGATGCAGGAACATTCCCAGGACGTTCCCACCTCTCTCCAATCCCCATCCCGGGATGCAGGAACATTCCCAGGACATTCCCACCTCTCTCCAATCCCCATCCTGGGACGCAGGAGCATTCCCAGGACGTTCCCACCTCTCTGCAATCCCAGCCCTGTTTTCACCCCCGCGGTGGATCCCGGGGTGTCAGACACTCCGAATTCCCAAGGGACCCCTCCGGATCCCCCAAAGTCTCCCGGGTCCCCGCGATCCCAGCAGCAGCAGGACAGGGCTGGCCCAGGAGGGGCCGTGTCCCCGCTGTCCCAGCCGGGCGGGCAGCTCGCTGCGAGGCCGGGACACCCACCAGGAACCAGTAGATGTTCATCAGCGTGAGCACGAGCAGCAGGGCGTTGAAGAAGAAGTAGAAGGGGATGTTGGGGACGGCCTGGAGGCTGGAGTGGCAGGTGGCGTAGAGCACCTTGAGGGGGAACCAGTAGAGACGGAACCAGAACCTGCGAGGACGGGGACAGCGCGGGGTCAGCGCGGGGTCAGCGTGGGGTCAGCGTGGGGTCAGCGCGGGGTCAGCGTGGCCCGGCAGGGACAGAGCCGGCACAGCCCATCCATCCATCCATCATCCATCCATCCATGGATCCATCCATCCATCCATGGATCCATCCATCCATGGATCCATCCATCCATCCATGGATCCATCCATCCATCCATGGATCCATCCATCCATGGATCCATCCATCCATCCATAGATCCATCCATCCGTGGATCCATCCATCCGTGGATCCATCCATCCATGGATCCATCCATCCATCCATGGATCCATCCATTCATCCATGGATCCATCCATCCATGGATCCATCCATTCATCCATGGATCCATCCATCCATCCATGGATCCATCCGTGGATCCATCTGTCCATCATCCATAGATCCATCCCTGTGTCCATCCATGGATCCATCCATCCATCCATGGATCCATCCATTCATCCATGGATCCATCCATCCATCCATCCATCCATGTTTTCCTCCTCCAGGCCCCAGGAGCAGCTGGAATCTGAGGCGGGGCCTCCT